TTAGTTTTTTACTTCTATCTTTACTTTGTTTTCTGGCTCAACCTTCGACTTTTCAACACTTGCACTATTTTCATGTTATTGCAGAGTTCCTTTGGTAGATGAGTTCTGGGTTCTTCTTGGTTTCGTTGTATACACAGGTATCGGCATTTCTTCACGAACATAGTCGAAATATTTGCTTGTCCGCAAAATCGACCAAATTCACATTTGGTCCATATTTTTTTTTCCTCCAAAATCTTGCTTTGGTGGCCTTAATCGTGATTTTTCCGTGCAGTGTTTCTATACCTCCATTTTGCAACTTCAGTTATCCATGAGATAACATCAGCTTTGGGAATCTACTGTTTCAGGTAAAGAGTTTTTCTACACTTTGTACAAGAATATTTTTATCTAGTGGTCCCATTTTTTTTTTTTTCTGTTGTAAAATATTTATCAGCAGCTAAAGAAATTGATTGCCGTCTCGTTTTTTATTTGACACAGAATAACGAGGAAGGAAGCTTGAGTCGTGATTTGCCGTTTGCTCGTCTGTGTAGCAATCATCACCTCGAGGTCGGTTCGCCTTTATGTTTGCACACATGATTTGTGATTATTTTTTAGTTTATATTCCATAATTTCCATTGTCACATCATGTATAATGCAATTTTTTAATTTTTTTTTTTCTTAACTAAGTATATTTGTTTTGTTTCTAGATGTCTGGTTATCATCCAAGAAACTGTTACAACATGGGCCAATCTATTCTGCAGATGAGAGGCAGAACTTGAAAGCAAATTTTTATATTGAGACTAGTTTTATTTTAATTTGCTGCAAATTATTTATACAATTCTTATTGTTGTAACTATTTTTAGTTATTATTCTTTCCTAGTATTTAGTGCTGTGGAGAAATACTAGTAGTGTGGCACAGATGTGGGAAATATGTTTTGCTAAATTGTATTTCTGCAACATTGAGTGGAAAATTATATTTTGAGAGAATTAGTAAAACTAGTTTTACTCCGTGCATTTGCAAGAAAAATGATTTAATAGAAGTGAAAGCAATTAAAAATGGAGAATAAAATAAAAAAATCATAACTTAATGAATGAGAAAATAGTTATTTAAAAAATTGAATCTAAATATTATTAAACATTTCTTTATATAAAACATTTGCAATTTTCTTATCGTCAGAATTTTCATCACAACAAATCATTATCGTTAAATTTTTTCGACTCGTGACTCTAGGATTTGGTTTTCAAAATATTTGATTTATCTTTGTAATATTCGAAATAATATTTTTATTATTGTATGACTGCAATAGAAAATAGAGATATTTGTAGTCATTTTTAATTAATTGCGAAATATGTATTTATATAAATAAAAATATATAGCATCAAAATAAAAATAAAATATTTTATATCTCATTGACCGCGCGTCGTAACGTGGCAAATTTATATTTATAAAATTTTCCTCGACTTACCCCTACTAACTAGTAGTAGTGGCGAGCAAGTGGCGAGCAAGGGTCGATCCCACAAGGAGTGTAGTATAAACCGTGATTTTATTATATTAATTAGATTAAATTAAAAAGGGGGGATTTTGATTTAATTCTAAACTACTAGCAAAACAAGAAAATAAACTAGAGCTAGAAATAAATGATTAAAGTGCAAAGATGATGAAATCGGGAATAACAAATAATCTAATGAATATGAGAATGAAATCGGTTCCAGGTCGGTCTACACCCTCAATTAACTAGTCCAATTAATGCATTTATCAAGTTTCACTCGTCTTCTAAAACTACCGGTCCTAGATAGCAATAAGCTTTGCTACCCGAATTCTCCCTTAATTATACTTAATCGAAATAGACTCTTCAATTAATTCTAACTAGCGAATAACTCGGAATAAGCTCTCCTAATTTAATCCACTAGTTGCATTAGAATCTAGGAAAATAGACCGATCTAAGCCACAAACACACAAGCTCGGTTCATGTAACTTATGTTGTGTTATCCCTAACAATGCACGACTGTTAGTTGCTACAAGCGAAAAAAAAAACTACGACAATTACACGGATCGAAGTCTTAAATCTGGCAATTAACATGCAATCCTCAACTTAGGTGATCAAGCTAAATTAAAGAACACATATTATGACATGAAACTAGAATAACACAATCAATTTTATACGACGAGTAAAGCAAAATAAAATTGCATTAATCAAACATAGTCACCGAGAGTTCGACGTCCCTAGAACCGAATAAATGTTTAGCTACTCATAGCTAAATGATCATAACAAATATAAGCATTCATAGTCTTCAATCAAAAGAAGAGAATGGGAAATAAAAATAAAAATAAATAACAAACTCCCTTATGAACAAATTAAACTACGGCCAAATCACTTCATGGCAGCAAATAAATCCTTAGCACACAAGTCTTTCATGCCTTCTGTTCACCACGGCCTGCATGAGTTCTCTTTCTCTTCACATACTCTCCAATTAATTAATCTCCTTTAGAAATTGAGTCTCCCACCAAATAAAAACTCCTCATGCCAAGTTAGCCAATAAAATGAGAGTCCATATCCCAATTTCCTATCCCTCAGCAGCACTCTCGCAAAAGTACACCATCCAAGGGAATTAACTGCAAAATAAACACAAATTGAATATTGGTGTATGTCCGTTCACAAAATAAAATACGTGAAAAAACTTGAATAATACACTAAATTCAAATACTCAAATATGCAAATTAAACCACAAAATACTATAAGATTTCTCACGTATCACTCATGACATAAAAATGCGTTGGAGACATGGCCGACGGACCTGATAATGTGTCCGACGGCGGGGGAGGCAAGGGGGGGGCACGCTGGTGGTGGTGACGGGGCTGAGAACGCGGTTGAAGTGCGTTGACAGAGACAACTACGTTCTAGACTGGCAGAGGCGGTGAACGGCGACAGTGACGTGATGGTGGCGGTGGTGTGGTTGAGCACGCGGCTGACGGGCGGCGGTGACCGGATCTCAAGAGGCTGTGAGACGGGTGTGTGTGGGTGTGTGTGATATTTGTGTGTGTGCAGTGTGTGTAATTGTGAGAAAGAGAAAACGATGGTAAATGTAAAAGAGAGTAAATGTGGTGGGAGGTTATGGTGAGACCCATTGGAATTTAAAATGTCTAATTTACCCTTACTTAGTGGTTAATATATATATTTTATATGTTAAATTACTATATTGTCATTAATGATTGACTAGATTTTGACTTAATCTTAACCATTGATATGATGTATCCAATGATTTAAATTATTCTTATTTCTTTCCTAGAACACCATTATCATGTAATCCTAACTCTATATATATATATATATATATATATATATATATATATAACCTTCGTTGGTTCAAAGATATGCTACATTTAAATATATTCTGATGGATTTAAAAAAAAAAAACACAAAAAAATCTGATTGAATAATATTTTTGGTTGAAATTTAACATACTTATTCTTTTAAACATTAATGGAATAGTCTTATATCCAACGTCTCAAAACTCGTTAATTGACTCGGGTAGGCCTCAAGGTCTGTAGTCTGAGTCGGGTTGTTGGGGTCAATTTCTGAATCGAGTAACTTAAAAAAAAAATAAAATTATTCATATTATTTTTATGTATAACTATATATCATAATCAATAATTTATATGTAAATTTGTATCTCAAAGTTTACATGAGTCATTACATTTTATGCAATCAATATAGTGATTCATATATAAAGAGAATATTTTATATTTGTAGAGTTTATTTTACTAATGATCAAATTTGCAAAATGTGATTTTATATATTACATTCATACATACAACTTACAATAATGTACTTATATCTATAAATTTGCACGATCGAATACTAGTTTAATACGAATGATCAATGATAAGTTTTTATTGCTAGTCTTTGGCTATCTCCAACTAAAAACTCATTTCTAATGATTGTCACATCAAACATTAATTTATTGCAACTGAAAAACTTATTCAAATCCAATATAATATTTTTGAAATATTATCTTTTACATCAATATTACCCACACATTTTACAACTTTACAAATTAAACCATGCTATTATATTAATTTCAATTTGACATTTATGTAATAAAATTAATTATGTGTGTTATTTTTGTGGTTTATGATGGATTGTAAATATAAAAGGTTAGTTTCAACAATAATAAAAATATAAAATACTCCGATAAAATTTTATAGATATAAAAGTCATCAGTTCCTTCTATATTTCATTCGATTTTTTTTTTTTTTTTTNTTTTTTTTTTTTTTTTTTTTTCAGGATTATACTTATATGGCTGCATGGGAG